CTCTGAGGATGCCTGCCATAGATGCAGGCGAAACATCAGGAGAGAATGCTTCTATAACATGGCCTGAGACCTCACAACCTCTGTGGATGCCTGCCATAGATTCAGGTGAGAAATCAGGAGAGAATGCTTCTAGAACATAGCCATACAGCCCGAAAAACCTACAACAACCCAGAAGCTGGGAATAACAGCAGGAACTCACCTCGCTCCCTGGATTCAAATCGCTGACCTTTCGATCAGCAAGTTCAGCAGCACAGCAGTTAAACCTGATGTGCCACTAGGGGCCCCATTATAGGTCATAATAAATTGTAAACAACTTGAAGGCACACAACAGTCAACGTATTGCTAGACTGACAAAGTGGTAAGAAACTCCAAGCTTACATACACCATTATGGGTTAAAATTCAAGTGATATACATTCAAATCATCGGTGATCTATGAAATTAATTGTTGCATGCATCAGTGGGCCATTATTCTCTTCCAGCCTGACTTACAGGGTTGTTGTGAAGACTAAATAGGGGAAAAGTAGAGCTCATAAGAGACGGAATGTAACTTCAGTATATTAACTAACTATCAGCCTGTCTGGTTTCCACTGTCCAAATCCTCAAGGTGATGATCCTCCTCAACTAACTACAACCATCTCTTGAACCCAGGAACTAGATCAGAAATGGGCAGCTTTCCAGGTGTTTTGGACTTCAACTCCCACAATTCCTAACAGCCTCAGGCCTTTTCCTTAAGCAGCTGAGGGGGAAAAGGATCGGGCCTGAGACTGTTAGGAACTGTAGGAGTTGAAGTCCAAAATACCTGGAGGGCCAAAGTTTGTCCATACCTAAACCAGACGTAAGACCTTCAACATGTCAAACATCCCTCTGCTCCCAAACCTTGACCCCTCTCTGCAAAACAGTCAGCAGCTCAGCCACACAAAAACCCAATACAAAGCTGAATGAGAACTCGGTCTCCCAGTATGGAACACAATTCCACCACCAGTCTTCGCTCAACTATTTTTCCCCAACTCTTGATAAAGAAGTTGCAGCTCTTTGCTGATTGTAATGGAACAGCCTTCCTTAGCAACAAGAAATCAAATAAAGAGGCTCTGAGTTTCAAGGAGTGCAGGCGAGCTAGCAAAGAAGGAAAGTAGAAGGGAATATCTGTGTTGGCATATTCAAAGAGAAGAAGGTGACTAAGATTGTGTCTATATTGTAGAATTAATGTAGGCTAACACCACTTTAAATGCTATGGAATCGTGTGTGTTGTACTTTTACAAGAACCTTGCCTTCTCTGCCAAAGAGTGTTGGTACCTCGCCAAACTACAGTGTAGATCAGGTATGGGCAAACTTGGGCTCTCCAGGTGTTTCGGACTTCAACTCCCACAATTCCTAACAGCCTATTGGCTGTTAGGAATTGTGGGAGTTGAAGTCCAAAACACCTGGAGGGCCCAAGTTTGCCCATGCCTGGTGTAGCTGCACTCTGAGTCTGATTTGGGAGGCCCGTGTTTTGGAGAGGTTCGAGGTTAGGTGGCCCCAAGAAACATGTTATGACGACTATATATTATGATTACTAGCAGCATCTTAGGGTGAATCTACACAGTAGAACTCATGCAGCTTGACACCACTTGAACTGCAATGGCTCAATGCCGTGGAACCATGGGAGATGGAGTCTTGGTCAAGAAGGCTAAAGATTTGTACACCTCCAGCTCCCATGATTCCATAGCCTTCAGCCATGGCAGTTCAAGWGGTGTCAAGCTTCGTGAGTTCTATAGTGTAGAMCAGGCATGGGCAAACTTTCTAACTCCTGTGCTATGCTAATAATATAATATATTTCCATGTCAGGGGTGACTTGAGAAACTGCAAGTCGCTTCTGGTGTGAGAGAATTGGCCGTCTGCAAGGACGTTGCCCAGGGGACGCTGGGATGTTTTGATGTTTGACCATCCTTGTGGGAGGCTTCTCTCATGTYCCCGCATTGGGAGCCGGGGCTGACAGAGGGAGCTCATCCGTGCTCTTCCTGGATTCGAACCTGAGACCTGTCGGTCTTCAGTCCTGTTGGCACAAGGGTTTAACCCACTGCRCCACCAGGAAGTCCAATATAATATAATATAATATAATATAATATAATATAATATAATATAATATAATATAATATAATATAATATAATATAGGTTGTATATACATATAATATTTATAATATTGCAATAAAATAATAATATATTATAATTATATATTTATATTACATGTAATATTACTAATAATATTACAATATAATGGTATAGTAAAATATAGTAATATTTAATACTGATATTGTACTATGCTAATAACATAATATATTGTATGTATGTATATATCTTGTAAGCCGCTATGAGTCCCCTTCGGGGTGAGAAGGGCGGCATATAAATGTCGCCAATAAATAAATAAATACATAAATAACTTGAGGGCTGCATGGCAGGCCAGGAGGGAGGGGGTTCTCCCCAAGTCCCCTTCCTGCCCTTTCCTCCTTTGCCTCTTCTCTTCTGGAGGCAGAAAATAAAGGAAAGATGGGTTGGGATCCCAGAAGGGTTGGCTTTGGTCAAGATGAGATGGTGGACAAGAAAAAAAAGGATATCCATCAGACCTCATGTTGACTACTCCTGATATAGAATCCTAGAGCTGGAAGAGACCCCCAAGGGCCATTCAGTCCAACCCCCTGCCATGCAAGAAGGCACAATCAAAGCACTCCTGATAGACAGCATCTGTGGAAAAGCCTCCTGAGGAGACTCCACCACACTCCCAGGCAGGCTAAGCTACTCTCCAGGAAGTTCTTCTTAATATTCTCAGTCGAATCTTCTTTCCAGTCATTTGAAACCATTGCTCCCTTGTGCCCTGGTCTCTAGAGTAGCAAAAAGCCAGTTTACCCCCTCCTCCGCAATGGGACATGGTTCTCTATCTTCTCTTCTCCCAGCTAAACATTCCCCAGGAGGAAAGGGGGAAGGAAAAAGAGAAGGAAAGAAGAAAGGGAGGGAGGAAGAGAATGATGGAAGGAAGGAAGGAAGGAAGGAGAAAGAGAGAGCGAGGGAAAGAGGGAGGGAGGAAAGAGAGAAGGAGGGAATGAGGAAAGGGTAGAAGGGGAGGAAGGGAGAAAGAGATAGGCAAGATAGGTGGGGAAGGAGGAAGGAAAGACAGAAGGCAGGGAGGATAGGATGGTGTGAGAGAGGAGGGCCTGAGAAAAGGGCCCAAGGGAACACATTCTATATAGATGCTCCTTGAATCTTGCCCATACCTAGTGTAGATACACCCTGAATCTCTTCCCTGGAAGGTTGGGTTTCCAAGAGAGCTACTGTATTTAATATTAAAGCAGTGTCAAACTGTAATTACTTCTACAGTGTAGACCAGACACAGGCAAACTTCAGCCCTCCAGGAGTAGGCTATTAGGAATTGTGGGAGTTGAAGTTCAAAACACCTGGAGGGCCAAAGTTTGTCCATGCCTGGTGTAGATTCACCTACAGAGCAGGGTCAGCTGCAGAAACGCAGAACAAGAATGGTGGGAGAACATCCTACAACTCTAGAACCCTTCTGGAGCATGGGTGATGGGCTGTGCAGTCGTAGCTCAGGGCAAGAAGGGGGGCACTTGGAGATTAGGGGTGATAGATAGGTTGTGGGTCACCCCTTTTGCACAGCCGAGGGTTGGACTAGATGGCCCTTGGGAGTCCCTTCTTATGATGGCTCCATGTTCCTTGGCCTTTTTGATATGACAGAGAAAAAAGCCAATGTGTTTCTAGACTGTATCAATAGGAAGATTGTGTCTAGACCAGGCATGGGCCAACTTAGGCCCTCCAGGTGTTTTGGACTTCAACTCCCACAATTCCTAACAACCTTCTCACTCCAAAAGACCTGGAGGTGCCCGGGTGAGGCCTAATGGAAGCAGACTAGAGCAAAACTATGGTTTCCCTCCATCTAGACCAAGTATGGGCCAACTTGGGCCCTCCAGGTGTTTTGGACTTCAACTCCCAGAATTTCTAACAGCTTTCTCACTCCAAAACAACTGGAGGTGCCCGGGTGAGGCCTGACTGAAACAGAATAGAGCAAAACTATGGTTTCCCTCCATCTAGATCAGGTATGGGCCAACTTGGGCCTTCCAGTTGTTTTGGACTTCAGCTCCCACCATTCCTAACAGCCTCTCAGACCTTTTCCTTCCCCCCCCCCTCAGACGCCTAAGGAAAAGGGGCCCGAGGCTCTTAGGAATGGTGGGAGCTGAAGTCCAAAACACCTGGAGGGCCCAAGTTGGCCCATGTTTCGTATATACAGATACATATATGAGCCATGAAAAATAATTGAAAGTCAAGATGAACGCTTAAGTGGCTGAGGGGGGAAAGGAAGGGGCCTGAGACTGTTAGGAATGATGGGAGTTGAAGTCCAAAACACCTGGAGGGCCCAAGTTGGCTAATGCTTCATATATACAGATAGACACATATATGAGCCATGAAAAATAATTGAAAGTCAAGATGAACGGCTTAAGTGGCTGAGGGGGGAAAGGAAGGGGCCTGAGACTGTTAGGAATGATGGGAGTTGAAGTTCAAAACACCTGGAGGGCCCAAGTTGGCCCATTCCTGTCTAGATGGCGGGGAACCATAGTTTTGCTCTATTCTGCTTCGATCAGGCCTCACCCGGCCACCACAATGAACCAATGGTGGGACCAAAGGTTGAGGAGCTGGGTTAGGGTTAGAGAGAAGAGAAAGCTGAGAGGGCATCTGATCATGGAATCACAGAGTTGGAAGAGACCTCGTGGGCCATCCAGTCCAACCCCCTGAGCCATGATAGCCGTGTTTATTGTGCCCCATTGAGGAGGGGGCAAGCTTGCCTTCTGCAAAGAGACACAATGGGCCATGGCTTGAAAAGGGATGCAGGAAGAACTCCTTGGAAGCTTTGGGAGCCTGGGCCGTATGGCCATCTGCCGGGAGGGCTTGGGTGGTGTCTTCCTCTGCTGGATGGCCCTTGGAGAGGGGGTGGGGGTGTCTCCTAGGGATGGGACTCACCGTGGGTGTAGATGTTGCCCAGTTCGTTGTGCAGGTAGAAGAGGCTGCGGAGGCACCCGGACCCGGAGCTGACCGGCCGGTATCCGGTCAGCACGAAGCGGTTGAACTGGAGGTGAGGGGGGGAGCTGGCCCAGTCCAGGAGCCGGGGCCCCCCCAAGAAGGCCATGGCCGGGCTCCCCCCCCGGGGTCAGCTGCTGCTGCGGCTCCGCATCCCCTTCGCCTTCATCCTCCGCCTTCCTCTTCCTCCTGCCGTCGCTGCTGCTGATGCTGATGCTGCCGCCGCCGCTGCTGCTGCAGCTCCTCCTCGGGCTTTCCCCTCCAGCACCCCTCCCTCCCCTCTCTCCCTCCTCCCCTCCCTGCCCAGGAGCTGAGCTCACAATCTCGCCCCGCCCACCGCCCTCATTAACATAATAGATGCCTGTGTCACTCCCCCCCTTCCCCATCTCTGGGCCCGCCTCCCCTGAAGCCCCGCCCTCGGCTCCTCTGGTCATTTGCATAAATCCCTGCCGCCCTCTCCTTGTCCTTTGGCACGCCTTGTCCACAAAAAGCCCCGCCCACTATCCCAACCCTCATTTGCATAAATCCCTGCCGCCCTCTCCTTCTCCCTTGGAACGCCTTCCCTACACAAAGCCCCGCCCACTCTCCCTGTGCCAACCTCTCCTGTTCCTCCCTTCCCATAAGCCCCGCCCACTCGCCTTCCCTACACAAAGCCCCGCCCGCTCTCCCGACCCTCGTTTACATAAATCCCTGTGTCACCTTCTCCTTTTCTCCCTTCTCCATTAGCTCCGCCCACTTCCCCAGAAAATTTGCATAAATCCCTGTGTCGCCCTCTCCTGTTCGCCCTTCTCCATTAGCCCCGCCCACTCCGCCGGAGATATTTGCATAAATCCCTTTGTCGCCCTCTCCTGTTCGCCCTTTCCCATTAGCCCCGCCCACTCCTCCGGAAAATTTGCATAAATCCCTGTCACCCTCTCTTCTCTCCTCCCCATTAGTCCCGCCCACTCGCCTTCCCCGCACAAAGCCCCGCCCGCTCTCCAACCCTTATTTGCATAAATCTTGTGTCAGCCTCTCCTTTCCTCCCTTCTCTATTAACCCCGCCCAATCCGCTGGAGATATTTGCATAAATCCCTGTGTCGCCCTCTCTTGTTCGCCCTTCCCCGTTAGCCCCGCCCACTCCTCCGGAAAATTTGCATAAATCCGTGTCAGCCTCTCCTGTTCGCCTTCTCCATTAGCCCCGCCCACTCCTCCTGAGATATTTGCATAAATCCCTGTGTCAGCCTCTCCTGTTCGCCCTTCCCCATTAGCCCCGCCCACTCCTCCGGAAAATTTGCATAAATCCGTCACCCTATCCTGTTCTCCCCTCCCCATTAGCCCCGCCCACTCGCCTTCCCCACACAAAGCCCCGCCCCTTTCCCCAACCTCTATTTGCATAAATCCCTGTCTCACCCTCTCCTGTTCGCCCTTCCTCGTTAGCCCCGCCCTCTCCTCTGAAGATATTTGCATAAATCCCTGTCACTCTCTCGCCTATCCACAAACCCCGCCCATGTCTGCTCTGTCCATTCTCTTCATTTGCATAAATCCCCCGCATCGCAAAAAATCTTCCTCCGGACCTGAAGCAAAATCTCCTTTCTGGAGACTTGGAGCCGTGCGTCTACTCAAGCCACGCCCTCCTCGACTCCAAACCCTGTCTGCCTGCAACCCGGTTGGCCAAAGCAACGTTCTATTATTAGCATAAAAGCCGACCCTCCCACCCGGCTGCGTTGGGTGTTCATAGAGCGCGCGCCGGTGATTTGCATAACCCCGAAGAGGCCACGCCTACTCAACCCCTGCTTTCCCAATCGTGGCGGTGTAGGCCCAGGTTTCAATGCAAGCGGAACACGCCCCCTATCGGCAGGAGGGCGGGATGGGAAATGCCAAAGTTCCCAACTCAATGTTAAAACCCTTGGAAAGTCAGGTTTGGGATGTCGGATTAACGCGGTTTAACACCGCTTTGGCTACCACGGCTCAGAGCTATGGGATCCTAAGAATTGTGGTTGCTGCAAAATGAGTTCAAAGTGGAAGGAATGGAGGAGAGAAGGGGGAAAATACACTCTTACCAGAATGTTCAGGCAAAAGCAAACTGCTGCTTCTTTTTTTCCACTAATAACTTCCATCATTTTGATCTCACTCTGATGTTCTTTGGCCTGAGATATCTGTGATGTTCAATGAGAGGCTCAGCTTCTCCTGTGCTTCTTAATAATAATAATAATAATCTCTATTTATACCCCACCATCATCTTACCAAAAGGGACTCGGGGCGGCTAACATGTGGTCAAGCTCAAAAATAATACAGCAAAGTTAGACACAAAACAACAGAAAAATTATATCAAAATACATAAAGTAACAAAATAAATTAGTTGAAAATACCATAATAAAAATCTGAAAAGGTGTTTAGAACATCGAGAAAACCAAAGTATTCTACCAGCAGTCACCAGCCAGTTCCTCTGCAAGACTAGAAATACAGCTTAATGGTGTAACATTAGAAAATGTAGACCATTTCCACTGCCAATATCCGCTGGATAATGGAGAAAGGCAGGGAGTTTCAGAAAAACATCTACTTCTGCTTCATTGACTATCTAAAGCCTTTGACTGTGTGGATCATAATAAATTGTGGCAAGTTCTTAGTGGGATGGGCATCCCAAGCCATCTTGTCTCTCTCCTGAGGAATCTGTACAAGGACCAAGTAGCAACAGTAAGAACTGACCATGGAACAACAGACTGGTTCAAGATTGGGAAAGGCGTACGGCAAGGCTGCATCCTCTCACCCAACCTTTTTAACTTGTATGCAGAACACATCATGCGATGTGCAGGGCTGGATGAATGCAAAGCTGGGGTGAAAATTGCTGGAAGAAACATTAACAACCTCAGATATGCAGATGACACCACTCTGATGGCCGAAAGCGAGGAGGAGCTGAGGAGCCTTCTAATCAAGGTGAAAGAAGAAAGCGCAAAAGCCGGATTGCAGCTAAACGTCAAAAAAACCAAGATTATGGCAACAAGAATGATTGACAACTGGAAAATAGAGGGAGAAACCGTGGAGGCCGTGACAGACTTTGTATTTCTAGGTGCAAAGATTACTGCAGATGCAGACTGTAGCCAGGAAATCAGAAGACGCTTACTTCTTGGGAGGAGAGCAATGTCCAATCTCGATAAAATAGTAAAGAGTAGAGACATCAGACTGGCAACAAAGATCCGCCTAGTCAAAGCCATGGTATTCCCTGTAGTAACCTACGGATGTGAGAGCCGGACCTTAGGGAAGGCTGAGCGAAGGAAGATCGATGCTTTTGAACTGTGGTGTTGGAGGAAAGTTCTGAGAGTGCCTTGGACTGCGAGAAGATCCAACCAGTCCATCTTCCAGGAAATAAAGCCCGACTGCTCACTGGAGGGAAGGATACTAGAGACAAAGTTGAAGTACTTTGGCCACATCATGAGGAGACAGCAAAGCCTAGAGAAGACCATTATGCTGGGGAAAATGGAAGGCAAAAGGAAGAGGGGCCGACCAAGGGCAAGATGGATGGATGGCATCCTTGAAGTGACTGGACTGACCTTGAAGGAGCTGGGGGTGGTGACGGCCGACAGGGAGCTCTGGCGTGGGCTGGTCCATGAGGTCACGAAGAGTCGGAGACGACTGAACGAATGAACAACAACATCATCTTACCAAAAGGGACTCGGGGCAGCTAACATGTGATCAAGCTCAAAAATAATACAGCAAAGTTAGACACAAAACAACAGAAAAATTATATCAAAATACATAAAGTAACAAAATAAATTAGTTGAAAATACCATAATAAAAATCTGAAAAGGTGTTTAGAACACCGAGAAAACCAAAGTATTCTACCAGCAGTCACCAGCCAGTTCCTCTGCAAGACTAGAAATACAGCTTAATGGTGTAACATTAGAAAATGTAGACCATTTCCACTTGCTTGGCAGCCACCTCTCCACAAAAGTCAACATTGACACTGAAATATAACACCGCCTGAGCTCTGCGAGTGCAGCATTTTTCAGAATGAAGCAGAGAGTGTTTCACTTCACTTTATTTCTTAATTAGTCGTTCTCCACCAAGGTGCTCCGAGCGACTTACAATCTAAAATAGCATTTACACAATATAAAAACATTCAACATAAAAACATTCAACAGTGACTATTTGGCAAATTAGATCTGATTACTTAAATGCACAACCAAATAGTCAAGTCTTGAGTGCCTTTACAAAAGGTCGCAACTCTGACATTGCTCTATGTATGGAGGCAAAGAGTTCCACAGAATTGGAGAATAGATCAAAAAAGCTCAACGCCTTGTAGCTTCCAGGTGTACCAGGTGTTTGAGGGCCAGGACATCCGTAGGGATATCAAGCTTCTCCTATTTATCGAGAAAACCAAAGTGCTCTTCCAGTAGTCACTAGCCAAATGCTCCGCAATGCTGTAGATACAGCTTAATTGTGTAACATTAGAAAATGTAGACCATTTCCACTCGCTTGGCAGCCACCTCTCTACAAAAGTCAACATTGACACTGAAATATAACACCGCCTGAGTTCTTCAAGTGCAGCATTTTTCCGAATGAAGCAGAGAGTGTTTGAGGGCCGGGACATCCGTAGAGATACCAAGGTGATTGTTTTTAAAGCTATTGTCCTCCCAACCCTGCTATACACCTGAAAAAGGTGGACTGTCTACAGACGTCACACTCAATTCCTGGAATGATTTCATCAACATTGCCTCCGAAAAATCCTGCAAGTCTCTGGGGAAGACAGGCAGGCAAATGTCAGCATGCTGGAAGAAGCAAAGACCACCAGCATTGAAGTGATGGTCTTCCACCATCAACTCTGATGGACCGGCCACGTTGTCCGAATGCCCCATCACCATCTCCCAGTTACTATGCTCCCAACTTAAGAATGGTAATCAGAATGTTGGTGGACAGGAAAAGAGATTTAAAGTTGAGTTTAAAGCCAACTTTAAAACTGTGGCATAGACAGCTTTTTTTTTTTTTTTTGGTCGTGTCAGGAGTGACTTGAGAAACTGCAAGTCGCTCTTGGTCTGAGAGAATTGGCCGTCTGCAAGGACATTGCCCAGGGGACACCCAGATGATTTGATGTTTTTATCATCCTTGTGGGAGGCTTCTCTCATGTCCCCACATGAGGAACGGGAGCTGATAGAGGGAGCTCATCCACCTCTCCCCGGATTCGAACCTGCAACCTGTCGGTCTTCAGTCCTGCCGGCACAGGGCTTTAACCCACTGCGCCACCGGGGGCTCCATAGACACCAAGAACTGGGAATCCCTAGCCCTTGAGCACTCTAACTGGAGGTC